ATAGCTCTGAGATCATCTTTCTTTTCATTCGTAAAAGGAGAGTTGACATCCTACGCTCAGTCTTGCTAAAACCCCTTGAGGGACTTGCCTTCTGTTGCTTGGCTGACTGAGACCTTTCTCTGTCCCTCGTCAATGTTCGTTTTCCAAAGCAAAGCAGCAAACAAGTCAGGGAGGACTTCACCGAGACCTTCTAACACAAGGACTGTTTCGGATTTTGCTATTTGGGGAGAAAAGTAAAGGTATATGAATTGTGCGAAGCGGGAGTCATTTATTTGACCCTTACAACCCCATTACTTTTGTCACCTTCAAAAGGTGACATATAATAAGTTTTCAGTAAATAAATATGTAAGATTTAATGCCTAACTTAAGAGGTACCAGGCACCTGGGAATTTAGGGGAGGCAGAGACATTTTAGGTAGAAGAGGCAAAGCCTTATACCTTACCCCACGGCATCTGCCAGTCTCCAAAGTAGTACTTTCTCTGCTTTTAGATTAGATTACATCACATTACATTACACTGGATTAGATTCCACTGGCTAATTAGGTCCAGAGGGAAGAGGCCCTCCATGCCTTGAAAATAACTCCCTCCTTTTAGTTAGATGATGGTGATTAGTACGGTCCTTCCTCGGTGTCTGCGGGGGTGGGGGGAATTGGTTCCAGGACCCCCGTGGATACCAAGTCTGTGGACGCTCCAGTCTCATATAAAATGGCATAGTATTTGCATATCATCTACACACACCTGTATACTTTAAATCATCTCTAGATTACTTATGATACCTAATACAATGTAAGTGCTCTGTAAATAGTTATAAAGACAATGGAAAGGCTATGTTAAATAGTTTTGCTGGTGTGATAAATTTGAGTTTTGCTTTTTCGAACTTTCTGGAATTTTTTTTTTTCCCCTGAGTATTTTCGATCCGGGGTTGGTTGAATCCATGGAGGCAGAACTTCAGGATACAGAGGGCAGCCTATATACTGTGGTAATTATAGTTGGTTCCATGAGGCAGACACCCAATGTGAAGAGTGGTTGACTTGCTGTCCTTACTGGATTTCCTTGGGTGGCTACTGACGTCACAGAACATGTTGTTAACATGAGCACTGCTGTGAGGATTAAATGAGACATTGCTCGTAAAGGCTCAGCGTAGTACCTGCACACAGTAAACGTGCAATAGTTGCGGGCTATTTTTGTCTTTATCACCATGTGACGTTTATTGAGCGTGTACTTTGTGTTAAGCCTTTGACATATCTTATCTCATTTAATGCCCACACAAACTCTAGGAAGTGGGAAATATGATAATCCTCGTTTCACGGATGAGAGAACTGGGGCTCAGAGAGGGTAAGTGGCTTGTTCAAGGTCAAAAAACTGCTAAGGGGCGGAGCCAGAATGTGAACCTGGTATGATTCTAACTTATTTTCTTAAACTGTGCTATCTAGATTGCCCCATTACTGACAAATCGTTGAAAAATACATTTTAAAAAGTAACAAAAAATAAGTGGGCGTTGGGGATGTATTAGCTGCAAATTTATCATGGCGATAAAAAAAACAAAAACTTGCAGATTGGTTCCCTCCGTCAGCAGCTTGACTGAGTTGCTTGAGCTCTCCTTGTGTAAAAAGCTCTCTACAGGGAGCCTTGGTTGGAGAACAAAGAAATAAGGCACATGATGTGAGTCAAGGGTAATTGAGCCTGTCTCACAGAACTGGTGAGTGGATCACACACATTCACATGACACAGGCTGAACACACACGGACCTGGGAGAGAAGATAGAGAGCTTCCCTGAATACACACGGACCTGGGAGAGAAGACAGAGAGCTTCCCTGAATACACATGGACCTGGGAGAGAAGATAGAGAGCTTCCCGTAGGCGATTCTTGCACCTTCACCTGGTTCGGGAGACAGGGTTTGGATTTCACAGTTGCCTTGGTTCAAACCTCGGTTTTGCCTCTTCCTGCAGTTACGGCCTTTATTGACTTCCTCAATTTCTTTGAGCCGCAGTGCTCTCGTGCGTAAAAAGCAGAGAGTGACGGTGACGTCACAGACATCCAGTGAAGGGTCTTGTTTCTGGGACAGGTGTATGTTAAATCGGGTTTAGTTCTTAAATATATTATTGTGCAGAGTAATGTCAGTCTATTTAAAACAACCCCAAACAAACACACAGACAAATAGCACTTGAACTTTTAGATGCAGCCCTGGCAGATTTCCCGCCAGCCCTGTCCCCCCACCCGGCCCCGATCTTTGGTTGTCTGGCAAATGCACAAAAGGAAATTAATTGCATGTCTACCTGCTACCATGAAATACTCTGAAAGTCACCTTCGAGAAAAACTAACACTTCCAAGAAAAAACAGAGACACAAAGTTTAAAGAAAAAAAAGCTCTGTGATCGGCCAGTTGCCCATCCTGAAGTCCTGAAGGGCTTCTGAGGTTATTTGGTGAACTGACTGAAGTACTAGATTACTAAATCACAGACCCTGAAATACCTCCAAATGGTGAGGTGGTCGAGGACAGAGGGAAGAGAGCAGCTGCCATGGGCGGAGGATGACTGGAGGCGGGGGTGGAGGCCCCAGGCCTGGAAAGTTCTGTGGGCAGGTTGAGGACGGAGCCCGGAGGCCCATTTACCATCTGGTCTCCAAGTGCCTGGAGCGACTCTAAGCTTGGGGTCCAACAGTCTCATCCTAAAAACTTCCTACCTCGTCTCCCTACCGCTGACCCAGCTTTGGGGCGGGATGCTCTTCACTTGATGAAATAATATTCCGGGAGCTATTTTCTAAGACATCCAGTCTGTTGAACATGCAAAACCTTAGGCCTCTGGCTGCTTAAGAGAGGGTGATTCGCTCCGTTGTTAAAATTCATTTTAAAATGGCGAGGACATGTTATATTCTAGAAAGTCTTTTTTCTCAGTCCTGCTTTTTTTTTTTTTTTTTTTGGTGGGGGGGCGCCCCCTTGTTGTTGTTTCCCCCTTCGTTGCGGAGCACAGGCTCCGGACGCGCAGGCTTAGTGGCTATGGCTCACGGGCCCAGCCGCTCCGCAGCATGTGGGATCTTCCCGAACCGGGGCACGAACCCGTGTCCCCTGCATCGGCAGGCGTACTCTCAACCACTGCGGCACCAGGGAAGCCCCTCAGTCCTGTTTTATACAATGTAATAGCTCTGGCATGACAGTCACGTGATGGACATGGAAACGTGGTGTGATGCACTGACACTTTAGGAGTTGCAAGAGGAGCCAGTGTTTGATGGGAGAGATGAAGAGAGAGGGAAGGGTAAGGTGGCAATTTCTTGGGTCCCCCGAGGCCCTGAGTCTGAGGTGGTTGCACCCCTAGAGCCACCAGTGTTCACCAGTGATAACACAGGCCTTTTTGATAGCTGGGTAGTCTTGGGCTGCTGCTGAAAGTGAAGCAGTATGAAGAAGCCGAAAACATTGTCTTAGCTCTAATGGAAAAAGCACCCCAGTCGGACTCTGGAGAGCGCTGTTTGAGCGCTGTGCCTACCACCAACCTGTGACCTATGACCTCTTTAAACTTAGTTTCCTCATTTCAATAATGGTCTGAATGCAGTGCCGTGGATTGTTTCGCCAGCTGTGAAAATGCTTCACAAATGTGTGGGTAGCTACTTGTATTTGTATTTACACTGATGATATTATTAGACTGAAAATGTATTCTGTATCTTTCTTTTTGGTTTTTCTGTTTGTTTGGTTTTTTGTTTTGTTTTGTTTATTCTGTATCTTTAAGCAAGTAATTCCATTCTCAAACTGTGGTGCTTCAAAGCCAATATATTGGGTTGGCCCAAAAGTTCGTTCGAGTTTTCTGTAACGTCTTATGGGAAAAACCCAAAGGGACTTTTTGGCCAACCCCTATTTGTAGAGGGTCAAATCCCCGCTCCACTGTCAAAATTACTAATTTGAGGGGTAGAGAACTCAAGTTTTATTTCTTTGTAATTTGGAGAGTTGTGATCAGGGTTGTTGTTGTGTTTTTTTTTTCTTTAAGTGAATTATTCACCAGAAGGAAGGGCTGCCGGAAGCTGCATACTGAGTTGTATTTTCGTTGTATCTCAGGTGTTAAGATCCTACTCTTTGGCATTTTACAAGATTTCTGTTTGTTGACTGTGGCCGTGTTGATGTGCCCCTCATTGTGGAAGTGAGGCAGGTAGATGTGGTGGGTTTTGAGGTCTCTCTGGCATGTGCTGCTCCCTGCGTATGCACTGGTACCGCAGCAGAGGCCGTGGTGCCGGGACAGCCGGTGCCTTTGAAGAGGGAGCCGAGGCTGAACTGAAATGCTCAGGCAGCAGCGTCCTGGGACGGTGTTCCATCTGGGAATGAGGCGTGGCTAGAAGTACTTTCTGATACACACCTTGTACAGTTAGGAACCTCAGAAATGGGCAGAAATGGTCCATGGCTTGAGCTCCTGGGTCTTGATCATCTAAGGCGATCAGCTAGTAAAAGGCGTTTCCCCAGAACACATGTCCAAGAGAAGCTCAGCATGTCCTGAGATGGTCATTGCTTCGTCTCTCTCTCTCTCTCTCTCTCTTCTTCATCTCTGTTTCTGTCTTTCTCTTCCTCTCATTCTTCTCTCTGTGTTTCTCACTCTCCAGGTTCGTTCTCTCCCTTTCCCTTTCTTTCTTTCCTTTTTCCCTCTCTCCTGTCCTCACTTTCTGCGGCTCCACTTTTGGAGGAGCTGGGGATCTGCCTGGTAAGGTTTCTTGACCCTTCACTCTGATTATTCCTCGGGAGTTGTCCTGGCCCTCCTTGACTCTGGCCGGGATCTTCCCATCCAAGGTGAGTAAACGTATTCCTCTCAGGGAGCAATGAGGACGGGTCTTCAATGACTGCTCTGTTTACGTTCGTTTCTCTGACTATGGAAAGGGTACTCACTGGGCTCACTGGTCCTCAGAAGACATTTCCTGTCACCATCTTATTCCACAAACCCAGAAGGTGGGCAGGGAGCTCTGTTTTCATCTCAGTCATGGCTATATTCTTCCTCTTGATGACAAAGGCTATCATCTTTCTAATTATAGATCGAGGAAACTCGACTCAACATTGACAAGATCTCAGAGCACGTGGAGGAAGCTAAGAAGCTCTACAGTGTCATTCTGTCTGCACCCATTCCAGAGCCAAGTGAGTGTTGACTCAGGGCTGAATCACCCAACGGTGACCCTTGGCCACTGGGGCTGGGCCTTGGTTTCCTCCCTCTGTGAGCAGCAGGGGAGGGGGTGTATTACCTTCCCCTAACATATGTGCCATGTCATCTCCCGTCCTCCTCTACCCTCTCCTGGTCACTGCTCTGCTGCTGTTACCTCTTCTCTTCATGGTCCAACCCATTTAGCCAAACTCTCCTCTCCTTCCCAGCTAGTCCCTCTCATGACTGGCAACGGCTCTTACAGCTGCCGACATACCTCATCTCTGTCCCACCCACCACTGCCCCTGTGCTATTTCCTCTGCCTGAAATGCTTCCCCAGTACCCCCCTATTTTTCCACGAGGTGTTTTTATTCTGTAGTTCTGGGGTAGGATGCCAGGAAAAAAATGCCTTTTAAAAATAAGCTTTCTGTGATTCTAATGACAGATGTCTTGAGAGCCCACCAGGATACATACTGCTGTGGGCAGTGGGCACCTGAGAAAGCTCCCCACCTCCTCTGTTGATTGTTGTAGCTGACTAAGCTCTCAGTCTCTTCTAACTGACTCTGCCTGCATTTGTTTATCCAGAAACCAAGGATGACCTGGAGCAGCTCACGACTGAGATCAAGAAAAGGGCCAACAATGTCCGGAACAAACTGAAGAGTAAGAAAGGAACAAAGGGAGCCGGCGGCACTCCCACCATCCGTCTCACGTCCGGGGTCCAGCTCTCCTGGACCGGAACTCTTCCTGGCGGGAGTGACACCACCCTTGCCGTCTTTGCTTGTGGTCTGGGCACTGTCCCTGGAATGACCTATTAGAGCCCCAGACAGTTTACGTGCTCTCGAGTCCTGACTGTGGTTGAGAGAGTCCAGAATTGAAGTTCGGAGATGGGAATGAAAGTGTGCTTTCAGCTACTGGGTGTTCGGGCGACTTGGTCCCTTAGCTTTTAGTCCCTCGACTTTTCTCTTCCTGGTCCCATTTCCTTCCCCAGCACCTACGTCCATTTGAACAGTGATGTTAGTGATGTATGGATGCCAGATGGATTATAGAGTCTGGAGACATTTCTTGGGGGCCACGTATCACCCTCCCTTCACCCCCGTGCCCGCCCCTCAATTTAGGGCATTGTTCAGTGAAGCCACTGTCGTAGATTCAGCTCCTCTGGGGGCGCAGAAGGTTCCTTAGTTCCACGGCTACCATCTGCATTCTTGCCGCATTGTACTTGCTGACAAGGCATACTGTTGGTCTGAGAGTGCACGCAGCATCGCTCGCCTAATTTATCATTTCTTCCCCCCAAACAGCCTGTACTGCCTGTTTTCATGCGGGTGGAGGTGGAAGTCGTTAGTGGCAGCTTCCAGTCGTAGCCGTGATCGTGTGCCAAGGCCTCTGTGTGCATTCTCATTGAATTTTCACATTGGTGCTGCTAGGGGGGCACTGCTGTTTATTCCATTTTACAGACGAGAGCACAGGAACACTAAGAGAGGTTAAGTGGCTTTTCCAAAGTTACATGGCTACTAAGTGGCAAGGATTTGAGTCCGAGTCTCTTAGTGACGGAGACTCATGCTGTTAACCACTGTGCCGAGAGGTATCCAAGGAAGAAGACCCGGCAGTAGTAAAGGTCGTGGAACGCGTGTCCCGTGGCTCAGGTGTGAGCTGACCTTTTGAGACTGGACCTACCTGCTGTTACGTCTCCTGGGCCGGGTGTGTGAGAGAGAGAGAGGAGGCCGCACTGCACAGTGTGCTTCTTGGAGGAGAGCAGCAGATGCGTTGCTAGAATAACCTCCTCTCCCATCCAGGCATGGAGAGGTGTATTGAAGAAGACGAGGTCCGGTCGTCAGCAGACCTTCGGATTCGGAAATCCCAGGTGAGATTTTCCCTGGTCTAACAGCCATCTAGTCCAATCTTTTAATTTTTTTTTTCTTAACTGTGGAGTCTTTTTAATTAAAAAAATTTTTTTTTAATAAATTTATTTATATTTGGCTGCATTGGGTCTTTGTTGCTGTGTGCGGGCTTTCTCTAGTTGTGGCGAGCGGGGGCTACTCTTCGTTGCGGTGCACGGGCTTCTCATTGCAGTGGCTTCTCTTGTTGTGGAGCACGGGCTCTAGGTGTGCAGGCTCCAGTAGTTGTGGCTCACGGGCTTAGTTGCTCCACGGCATGTGGGATCTTCCTGGACCAGGGCTTGAACCCATGTCTCCTGCATTGGCAGGCGGATTCTTAACCACTGTGCCACCAGATCAGTCCCTTTTTAAAATCTTTATTGAAGTATAGTTGATTTACAATACTGTGTTGGTTTTAGGTGTACAGCAAAGTGATTCGGTTTTGCATATATATATATATATATATATATATATATATGCTTTTTCAGATTCTTTTGCATTATAGGTTATTATAAGATATCGAATATAGTTCCCTGTGTGATACAGTAAATCCTTGTTGTTTATCTATTTTATATATAGTAGTGTATATCTGTTAATCACATATTCCTCATTTATTCTCCCCTCTTCCCCCTTTGGTAAGCATAAGTTTGTTTTCTATGTCTGTGAGTCATGTCTGTGCTTCTGTTTTGTAAATAAATTCATTTGTATTATTTTTTAGATTCCACATATAAGTGATACGTTTGTCTTTCTCTGTCGGACTTACTTTAGGTCCATCCATGTTGCTGCAAATGGCATTATTTCATTCTTTTTTATGGCTGAGTAGTATTCCATTGTATATAGTACCACATCTTCTTTATCCATTCCTCTGTTGATGGACATTTAGGTTGCTTCCATGTCTTGGGCTATTGTAAACAGTGCTGCTATGAATGTTGGGGTGCATGTATCTTTTCGAATTAGAGTTTTTGTCTTTTCCAGATATATGCTGGGGAGTGGGATTGCTGGATCATATGGTAACCCTATTTTTAGTTTTTTAAGGAACATTCATACTATTCTCCATAGTGGCTGCACCAATTTACATTCCCACCAACAGCGTAGGAGGGTTCCCTTTTCTAGCTGTGGAGCCTTTAAAACAAAAAACCACCAACAACCACTGTTTGGAACTCAATTTGAGGAACTGATGGAGGGGAGCTGCTCAGGTTGAAGTGGGGGACAGGGCTGAGTCCAGCTGGTGGCCCCTCTCACACTGTCCTCTAAGGAGGTGCCTGAGGCTCCCAGAGCACTGCTGAGGGTTTAGTGAGCCTCTTTGGTTTACAGGTGAGGAAACTGAAGTCTTCTCTCTGAAAACTGTTGGTCATTAGTTGTCCAGTTTGGAGTCAGGGTGTTTGGTGGTCATCAAAGATATGACCCTTGTTGTTGAACTGGCACGGTGCTCAAGGAGCACAAGGAAACTATGACATAAGACCCACAGGAGAACGTGTATGAAGACCGGATCAAATGCACGTGCTCCCAGCATCAGACGATCTCGGGAAAGACTGGGGTGGCCAGAGGAGGCTGGGCCTTGGTGGGCAAGATGCCAACATGGACAGGCTCGGGGAGAGGTTCTCCTTAGAGGTATGGGGGCAGGAGTGGTGTGTGTGGGTGCCTGGGTGGGTTGGTAGCAGCGGGGGTGGGGGTGGGGGTGAGGGGCAGACGTGAAGAGAGCAGCCTGTCTAGAGAAAAATGTTTGTCATGGGATAGTGGACGTTGAGTTTTTGGTAGAGAACATAGCACCGTATTCCAGAGGCCTTTGGCTGCAGTCCAGGGAGTTTGGAGCTGACTGAGTAGCCTGTATGCATTTACTTTGGGTTGCAGTTTGTTAGGAGGATAATATGGGAACCATTTGAAAACTGGATCAGAGTGGGAAAGAGGCAAGAGGCAGGTGGGTCTCTAGTTGGGTTTTGCAATGATTTTGGTCTGAATTTGCCCGGTGGTAGTTGGTTTGAAAAAAGCATAGATATTGGTGATTTTGCAAAGGAAAAACCAGTAGGGCTTGATGCTGAGAGGTGAGTAAGGAAAAAAAATGATAAAGATTTGAGTTTAGGCACCAGAGCCATTGACTTGAAGGCACTGAGTTAGAAGCACGAAAAGTTGGGGAGGTCAGTTCTTTGGATGTAGGAGGGAGTCCGGCAGCTTTAGAAAACAGGGCCTCTGAGATTCACAGGGTATCTCCTTTGGCCTCACAATTACTATAGGAGTTCAGCAAGACAGGTTAATAGATACTGAAAACATGCTTTGGAAAGGTCAGCCGACTCTTCCAATGGTGTAAAGTTAGGAAACCAAAAAACTGAGTCTTGTACCTGGTCTTTGTTTTTTGTTTTGTTCTGTTCTCGTTTTTATACAGTTTTGAAAAGTTACTTTCCATTTACAGTTATGACCAAATGTTGGCTGTATTCCCCGTGTTGTACAGTACATCCTCGAGCCTGTCTTACACCCAGTAGTTTGTACCTCTCACTCCCTCACTCCGATATTGCCCTCCCCGCCCCACTGGTAACCACTAGCTCCTCGTTATCTGTGAGCCTGTCGCTTTTCTGTTATATTCACTAGTTTGCTGTATTTCTTAGATTCCACATATAAGTGATATCATACAGTATTTGTCTTTCTCTGTCTTATTTCACTTATGCCTCCCAAGTCCATCCATGTTGCTGCAAATGGCCAAATTTCATTCTTTTTTTTTTTGTGTCTGAGTAGTATTCCATTGTAGATATCTATACCACATTTTCTTTGTCCATTCATCTGTTGATGGACACTTAGGTTGCTTGGCAATTGTAAATAATGCTGCTGTGAACATTGGGGTGCATGTATCTTTGCAAATTAATGTTTTGGGTTTTTTTGATATATACCCAAGAGTGGAATTGTTGGGTCATATGGTAGTTCTGTTTTTAGTTTTTTGAGAAACCTCCATACTGTTTTCCAGTGACTGTACCCGTTTACATTCCCACCACGAGTTGTCCCTGGTCCTCTGGTTCCAGGACCAGTGCTGCTGTAGATGAGGCTGCGTAGGGGCTGGGGTTCTGTAAGAGTTGTGGACCTTCCCCTCCCTCGCCTCCTGGGGGCTCACAGCATTTGACCTTGCTCCCACAGCACTCCGTCCTCTCCCGGAAGTTTGTGGAGGTGATGACCAGATACAACGAGGCCCAGGTGGACTTCCGTGAACGCAGCAAAGGGCGAATCCAGCGGCAGCTCGAGATCAGTGCGTGTTTGAAGTTTGGCCTGTGCCCCTTCACCCTTCCTGCCACGTGCTTGTCCGTTCCCAGTCGTGTCCTCCCCTCTCCCAGGGGAGAGGGAGCAGTAGCCCCGCTGGTGGCTTCTGCCTTCTCTTTTGTGCCCAAGCTGGGGACAGGCCTCACAGCACTGGTGCATCCTGGATGTTGCGTCTTAGGCTGAAAGAAGGCTCGGAGTTACCAGGCCCGAGTCGTTTGACTGCCGTGGGAGCCAGCGTTTCTGCATCCAGAAACTTGCTACACAGCTGCACTCCTTGGGGCTCATGACATCTTTTGCTGCCTGTTTGACAGCAGAGAATGGTGCTAGTTGCCGTGAGGAATAAAGAAGTTACTACAGCCACGCCCTTTAGGAATCAGAAACCGGACTGCAGGGCCCCACAGGGCGGAAAGTGCTTTGAGCGCAGGAAATGAACGAACAAGGGCGCAGGCAGAACAAAGCACGCGTGTTCAGGAGGGCGAGGCCGTCCAGGGCCTGGGAACAGGGCGCATTTGGGTGGAGCAGGGTGAGGTTAAGGCGGATGGAGGGAGGGCTCACCCAGGAACTGGCGCCTTGTTCTGAGGCCCTTGGACTCCGTGGTGGAGTGAAGGGGGCCAGGAGACATTCTGAGCTGGAAAGGAATGTCATCAGACATGGGCTTCAGGAAGGTAACTGTTGATAATGTTGAGGACGGATTGGATTAGGGGAGAAATCCAGAGAGAGGAGCGTCAGGAGGCTTGTAAGGCCATGGTCTTCAGGGTGAACTTACTGTATTCCCATTTTCAGGGAACTTTTTTTTTTTTTTTTTGCGGTACGCGGGCCTCTCACTGTTGTGGCCTCTCCCGTTGCGGAGCACAGGCTCCGGACGCGCAGGCTCAGCGGCCATGGCTCACGGGCCCAGCCGCTCCGTGGCATGGGGGATCTTCCCGGACCGGGGCACGAACCCGTGTCCTCTGCATCGGCAGGCAGACTCTCAACCACTGTGCCACCAGGGAAGCCCTTTCAGGGAACTTTTGAAATGGTGAGCATTGATCTTATGTTTGATGCTCTCCTCCTTTTGTTGTAAAGCCGGCAGGAAGACAACAGATGGGGAGCTGGAGGAGATGCTGGAGAGTGGGAACCCTGCCATCTTCACCTCGGGGGTGAGTGATGGTGGGGGCGGGCTGGGCTGCAGAGGCCGGGAGGGCGGGGCGGCGGGAGCCCCGCAGGGGTGTGGTGAGGCTGCGGCGGGCCTGACGGCAGACGGTCGGTCTCTTGTGCGGCCTGGCCTAGATCATCGACTCTCAGATTTCCAAGCAAGCCCTCAGTGAGATCGAGGGACGGCACAAGGACATCGTGAGGCTGGAGAGCAGCATCAAGGAGCTTCACGACATGTTCGTGGACATCGCCATGCTGGTGGAGAACCAGGTAACAGTGGGTGCCGCGTGGGCAGGGAGGAGAGGAAGCCCGGGGCTTCCCGAGAAGGGCGAGACGGGACTCCTGGAAAGCCGGGTGGGGTGGGAGAATCGTTGGGAAATTGCGTAGTAGATGCTGACATTTTGGGCAGTCGCAGCCTCGTCATTCATGCCTGTTACTTCGGCCTGGAGGTCATTTCTAATTAATACGGGGTTTGATGTGCTCTGTCAAGTATCTGGTTCCCTCCAGCCTCAGGACCGTGGTCTTTTTTAAATTAGAGATATGGGCTCTTAATGGTGATGCCTTAAGACAATATCCTGATAGGAACTGTTTCACTGGTGACACTGAAAACATGGGGCCTTTTCCCCCGTTTATGGTGAAAAGTTAGGCTTCACAGAGGTTTTTGTATTTTTCCATTTTTGTTTTTTCTTCTGTATGTGTGTTTTTCCAAAAATGTTGACAGTTTTTGCTAAGGAACAGGAGCAGACAACAGAAGGATTGAAGGGACAGCGAAGTGGTATTTACAGAAAAACTGGGAACTCTCACAGTGCTTAGCTTGAGAGTCTGTTTTGTCCCGGGTAAGCTTGCTCAGGGGTGGATGGCTCTGTCCCCAGCATATGGTATCAGTGTCACAGAGTCACACGTCTCCTGGTTCTTACGATGCAGTTAAATTCGCCACTGTGTCATGGTTTGGTGCCACTATTACCATGAACTCCCAGTGGCTCTGCCACCTGGAGAGGATTGAAAACTGCTTCCTCTGTAGAAGGAAACCTAACTGAAGCCCGAGCACCACTCGGCTGGTTTTGACATCAGTTCCCTGCTCTGGGCTCGGGGGCCTTTCTTCCACCCCCTTGCAGCCGTTGAGACCATTTCTCCTGCCCCTCCATCCCTACCCTTCTGTTTTCTCCCCACACTGCCTTGCCGAGGAACTGGTTTGAGATTCAAGTGATGGTAAGTTCTGTTCTCTGTGTAGAGACTGCCATAACGCCATGGGTTGGGTTGAGGAAGGTCTAGGTGGGTGAAGGGAATTCCCATCCTAAGATGCACAGAACTCAACTGGAGAGACCAAACTTCTGGTCAGGAAGTAATAGCCGGGCAAAGGTTGGGAATCTTATTAAGAGACTGCTGTCTCTTAACCAGATAACTCAGGTAAAACCAATGTCTGTCACTTACGGGACCTGGGAGTACCTTAGAGAAAGCAACTGTTCCCACCTCAGCTATCTATTGAGCACCTGACGTGTGCTGGGCACTATTCTATAGTAGTGAATGAACTCAGTTCAGGCCGAATGAACTTGGTTCAGGTCTGAATGACCAGGAAGAAGCCAGCATCCTGGCGATGCCCTAAGAACATGAGATAGATGTATTGGGTTGGCCAAAAAGTTGGTTTGGGTTTTTCCGTGAGATGTTATAGAAAAACCCAAACGAACTCTTCGGCCAACCCAATATCTTGGCTTCTCTCTTCACATACTTAAAAAAAAAAAAAAAAAGTGGCGGGATCCTTCAGGATATCCCAGGCATCTAGACAGTGTGCTCCAGGTGCCCAGTGCAGTGCTTGTCACAGAGAAGTAACTGAGTGAATGTTTCTGGAATGAGTGACAGCCACCAAGGCCTGGGGAACCATAGGTAATCACGGGGAAGTTGTACAAGTTTGCCCCACAGAAGGCTGCATGTTAAAGTTTCCAGATGCTCTTCTTGGTGCTGAAAAGAAAGAGAACCCCTTTCTCATGTGAGCTAGGACTGTCCTGGGGTGGCTTTCCTGGGTGTGACTAGCGTCTGTCCTTTGCAGGGTGAGATGTTAGATAACATAGAGTTGAATGTCATGCACACGGTGGACCACGTGGAGAAGGCTCGGGAGGAAACAAAAAGAGCCGTGAAGTACCAGGGTCAGGCCCGGAAGGTGAGCCTCTCCTGCTGCCTTCGGAGAAGAGAATCCACTGTGCGCGCCGTCTCTCGCTCTTTCTCTCCTCCCTCTCCCCGTCCCTCTTTCTGCTGGACCCACCTCTTGCGTCCGTGGAAAGGGAGCCATGATTGATCGTATTGAGAACAACATGGACCAGTCAGTGGGCTTCGTGGAGCGGGCCGTGGCAGACACCAAAAAGGCTGTCAAGTATCAGAGTGAAGCTCGGAGGGTGAGCCCTTAGTCCCAGCTGGACCGACCGGCTTCTCCTCCCTCTGGTCGCCCCCACCCATGTCCTTGAGCCCGTGCCTTCCCTCCGTCTTGGCCTCATCCAAAAGCCTACCTCAGCTTCCCCTAGAGAATAGCTGCCCTTCCTTCCCAGGGGTGCCTCGCATGGATCTGGCTCACGTGCTCTCTACCCGAGAACCCCCATTTGCAGGCAGCTCGGCATCACTGCCCAGGTGTTGCTGCCAATGCCCTGGACAGAGCTCGGGATCCCTTCAGCCGTTACACTTGACTCGTGCTCCTGAGAAACCTCCCTTCATTGCCTTCCACTCCGGTAGCCCAAGCCCCGCCCCACTTGGTTTCTTTTTCTCTATCATGAACCCAGTGGTGTGCTGATGGCTATGTGAACATTATCTTGTATCTTGGGAGCACCTGTTATTTCTCCTTTATAGATGAAACAGTTGAGAATCAGAGGTTAAGTAATTGGCTTCAGGCCACCTAGGAAGCATAGGAACCAGGATTCAAATTCAGCTTTCAATCAAGCTCTTTCCATCCTGTCTCCACTGCCCGCCCCCCACCTCTAGTTCTGGTGCCCCTGTCACCTGAGGACTTCTAAGCTTCTCTGCCTAGTGACTGTGGTGGCTAGCTCTGGTGGTTTTTGCTTTTTAGCCTGCTCTTTTCTGTTTCTCTTGGGCTCTGATACTTTTGTTCTTCAAGTCTTTCTTTTTCTTCCAACTTTACCTATTGCTTGGGCAGGTATCTAGGGAGCTGGGAAGTTATTTTACATGATGAATCCGGGCTGGTTTGCAACAGGACCGTAACCATACTTTCTGATCCCCAGTCACTGTACTGGGTTTGACAGGTGGGAATGTACTTTGGGGGAGAGATGGACAGATGTTTGTAATTAGGACTATGTCAAAAATGTTTCTATACTCCTTCTTGAAAAGGAACAAATGAGTCACTTATATCTTGGCCTGTTGCTGCTTGGAGACCCCATTATGGTTGCCCTTCTATCTGTGCACGTACGAAGGCTGCCGTGTGAGCTGAGAGCTGATGGAAACTCCCTATTTCCATCTGCTGGCATTGCTAGTGCAGAAGTAATTTAAGAAACAAAATATCCTAATAGAGTGTCTTTATGTAGAGATGGTGGCTTTTTATTTCATTTATTTGGATTGATAAGACGCTTCCTATGTAGAGGCAGAGGGGTTGGGTTTTGGATGACTTACTATGGTTTTCTGGTTGTTTGTAATAATGACTTGTTTTTATTTCTCTTATCCCTCTCTCCAGAAATTGATAATTATCATTGTGGTAGTGGTTGTGTTGCTGGGCATTTTAGCGTTGGTTATTGGACTTTCCGTTGGGCTGAAGTAAGGGCGGCCCGGGAGGCTGCTGCCCTGAAATGTAAGTAAATGGAAGGTACTCGGGGACTCTGGATTGGCTCCCTCTTGAGAAATGAGCCTGGGATTTAAAATTCTGCTTCTTCGCCCTGTGGTTGTCCTCGGACACACCGAGCGCTCTAAGACTTCAGTACCTGTGCGTTCTTTCATGTATGTAACTTGCTATTCTCGGGTCCTGGCTGCATGCAGGGGTTGGGTCTCCGTTCGTTCCTATTCTGTGGCTCTGTCCCCGCCCTTGTCCGCCCCTCATTTTCACTCCCTTCCCCAGAAAGCCTGCTCCTCCTCAGTTGGGTGCAGTCTATGTCTGCGATCTGGGGTTTGTCTTGTGAGTTAGTACTGGCTTTCAGGTATCTTGGGCTTTGCCTTCCGTATCCTTTTCAGTGTAAATGAAGCTTTGAATCGGGATTTGGGTCTGCAGGGTTTTGTTTGTGGTTGACTGGTTGGATCTCGAATGATAAGAGTAGCTACCATTTTTGAGGGCTGGGTTGTATCAGACAATGTACTAAATAAACACCTTACACACGCATCACCGAGTCCTCACGTCGCCCACATGAGACAGGTGCTATTATCATCCCTATTTTACAGATGAAGATGCTCGGGCTTAGAGAAGTTAGGTAACAGGGGCAAGTTTGAACACACAGCTAATAGTGGACCTAGCTTCTCTTTGTAAAACAAGGTGGCCATTTATCATCATCTGCAAAGTCTAGAAAACCTTAGAGGATAGCAACTTTAAAAACAAATATTTATTTGGCTGTGTCAGGTCTTAGTTGTGGCATGTGGGATCTTCGTTGTGCCATGGGGGAACTTCCATTGTGGCGTGTGGGCTCAGTAGTTGCGGTGCGTGGGCTCTAGAGTGTGTGGGCTTAGTTGCTCTGTGGCATGTGGGATCTTAGTTCCCTGACCAGGGATTGAACCTGCATTGGAAGGCAGATTCTTTTTTTTTTTTTTTTTTGCTGTACGTGGGCCTCTCACTGTTGTGGCCTCTCCCGTTGCGGAGCACAGGCTCCAGACGCGCAGGCTCAGCGGCCATGGCCCACGGGCCCAGCCGCTCCGCGGCATGTGGGATCTCCCCGGACTGGGGCATGAACCCGTGTCCCCTGCATCGCCAGGTGGACTCTCAACCACTGCGCCACCAGGGAAGCCTGGAAGGCAAGGATTCTTAACCACTGGATCACCAGGGAAGTCCCAATAGCAACTTTAAAATTCAGGATATTAATTTCTTTAAAATCTGGTAAAAAGAATAGAACTGACCACTGAATCAAGGTTTCATGTGTACAGCAGTAGCATGACAAGAATCATCTAGTTATTGGCACTGTGAAGACTTCTGTGACCTCTTAAGTATTATTTTTCTGAATATGTTTATGCTCCCCAGTTGTGCTCTAGGGTAACATCATCACCCCATCTTCATTGGGGAAGCTTTGTGAAGCTCAGTGAAATTAGGAACTTGTCCAAAGCCTACACAGCTTGCAAGGCAGAGCAGGTGTGACGCCTGAACTTTTCTGCATCTTTTTTCACTGTGCCTTTCTGCCTCCTAAGGTTAGTGGGGGATAGGGGGACTAAGGAGAAGATGATTCTAGTGCCACCAAGCTTCTGAAACTTGTATTCGAAAGGTGTTGATGGGAGCCCCACAGACAGAACAGGTGTTCTGCACCAGCGGTGGTGCCTCTCTTCCCATAAGTCCTTCCACGGTGACGCGACAGCCCCTGGGAAGGGCTGTAAAAGGCCCAGGGATTTTCCTATTTTTTTGCCTCATGTAACAGGGCTTTTTGTTTCTTGTACGGGGGGGGTATTTAATTCCAGGCCCTGTCGTGGGTTTGTGCTGAGTTTTCCATTGTTCTCTCTCTGCAGCTGTTTCTGATCTCTCCTCTCCACCTTCTAGGTGTGTGGCTTGTGGCCGAGTCTTACTGTTCTCCGCCGCCACCCTGGGCGCTGACCAGCTCCTCCTCCCCCTGCCTCTTGTAGAGCCCATTTCACCCCAGCCTGATGTGGCCGCCCTTGTCTTCAGATGGGAACGGAGTGTGAATGGCCTTCCTGAGAGAGAGTGGGACCTGTTCCCTTGTTTTCTTGTAACCACCCTTGGACCTGACCCAGCAAACAGTCTAGCCCAGGAGAAATCTAAACTACTGATGCAGCCCTCAGAATCTTCTCCTGCCCCACCAACTCTGAAGCACCTTCTCCTGGACTGTAGGAACTGCCCCAGCTTCTCCTTCTCCCCTCTGATGTGTCAAATTATGCCCCGCACCTTGGAGAACCTACCTGAGACCTCCCCAAGGTGCTGTATTTTCTACCTCATGGAGTGTTATTCTCCCCAAAATCGCAGTGTATTTTTGGGGTGGCGGGGGGGATATCTTTAACAAAGCAAGGGGATTCTTCCAAGTTGGGCAACAGTAAGGCTTGGACCTGCGTCTTCTACCTGGCAGGATCCCAGTCCTTGTGGCTCGTCCTCCCTGTCCTGAAAGTAGGAGGGACTGGCAGAGGTCGTTCTGGTCTTGGAAGCTGACTTCTTTGAAATTCAGCCTCAAATTAAGCTCTTTGTGTGTTCCGCTCGATGGCCAACTCGATCTCTGTCTATGTTGTACTCCCGCATGTTGACTCAAGGAGGCGCTGCCACGAGGCAGTCGTCTGAGGTTACCGTCTGTAAAGGCTGGGGTATATGCAGGAACTGTTTCCGTGTCTCAGTCTTGGGAACTGGCTGTTTACTGTTAGAGTGATGCTTTGCGAAGCCATTGCCTTGAGGCCCCGAATAACCAGGCACTAAAATGAGGCCAGGGATGAGGTGCTCGAGTCTCAGGCTCTGGGAATGTTTCAGGCTGGGGCGAGTATGAGTATTCAGTCATTTCATGTGTTCCACGTGTATTTTTATAATCGTGTGTGTGAGATGTATGTACCTATATGTATGTGTCTCTCAGGAAGTAGGAAACTGGAAATGAGGTTATTATAACCTCAAAAAAATAACTTGAGCTAGGCTAAAAATTAGGTAAGAGACATTTGCTTACCTGCAAATGAATCATAGTAGCAATGTGATCTTCCCACATCATCGGGAAACCTGCTGTTTTCTGCACAGGCGCTCAGAGAATCACAGATGGTTGGGGCGAGGACTAACTTGATCCCCATTAGGTTTTTAGCAGACAGAAGGTGGGACGAGCTCGACACCTCTCCCCACTTGCTGCCTGGGCTAGGCTTGTCCTGAGAACGTCCCACAGCAATCTGGTACCGTTCATGTGACCTTTGGGACGTCCTGTCTCCAGGGCGGAGTCAGCTTGGGGAGGCCGGGGTCTACTCAGCAGCTGTTCCTGCTCCCAGATTAATGAGCTTCATAGATGCTTTGTCGCCCCCACTTGTCATGGAGCGAAGAAAAGCCAGGAAATGGTTAAGTGTAGTGACCGTGCTGAGCCAGTGTGAGCCCCTTAGATCCCCTGCTGGTCTCTGCCAGCCTCCCGGATTGATATCTCACCTTTGACTTTAATGCCTTCTAGGACAGGGCGAGCACCCTAACCCAGGCATGGTCCATTGGCTTCCTCTGCAAAGGAATGATTACTCCTAATCATTGCCCGGCACTTGGACAGAGCCAAGGGGACGCCCTCTTGCCTATGGCTGTGATGTCCAACAGGCCTGGCTCCGGCAACGAGGGCAGACAAACTTCAATCACAGACAGATCTTTGCTCTCCTGAGATTGAGGCCTGGGGCTTATAGTTCGGAACACAAGTGAAGGGATTTTTGTTCTTTCTTTGTACTTTTTTAAAAATGTAAACTTGATTATTTTATTGCTAATTTAAGAATAAATGACTTTATTTGATTGTGACGCAGTTCTGGCTCGACGTCCCTGTAAAACACTTGGTGGCTGCCACCATGTGGTGGCTTTTGTTTAGGTTTCGGAAAGGGGTTAACATTTTTTTTAACCACGTGCTCTAATTTTTGAAAATGGTTGAACTCTCAGAGTGCAGTGTAACTGTATTTGAGTCTTAGATTTCAAGGGAATCCCCCCCCGCAGAAGACTTCAGCTGACTCACTGAGAGTATCTGGCTCTGGGGGGAAGTGGCGTAAATCTGATACGATGGCAGCTGGAAGGTAGAACAACATAGGAAACATCCTCTGAGCTCGCTGTTGATCTGATTTTTGCATCTCTCACCGAGAAGTAACATTTCTCTTAGTACCCTGGGTTCTAGAAGCCAGATCCATCTCCCTTTGCCTTCACATCTGCTCCCACGCCCAGACCCACCCTCGTCTCCCGTCCTCTGGAACCCTCTCTGCAGTGACACTGTTTCTCACGTGCTTTTCTTTCCTTGTCTGGATGAGCAGAAGAAGATCATGATCATGATCTGCTGTGTCATCCTTGCGATCATCTTAGCTTCTACTATTGGGGGCATATTTGCCTGAAAAAACACAAAACAAAACAGGTGAGCCATCTGTGGGGAGGGTCAGGCCTGTTTTCGCTGGAGACGCTTGTGTCCTGAGGGCTTTGGTTGTCACCAGGTGCCTTGATCTGTGTGGGACTGGGGGCTGGGATGAAGGTTGGAGAAAACCAAGAAAAATGCGTGAAGAGGGAGTCGGTAGGGAATAGGTAGATGGGGAGACAGAAGGTGGCAGTCTGTCCCGTACGCAGGTCTGGTAGCAGAGTGTATTGTTCAGAATGCTTTGCATAAGGGTGTTGATTTCCTGTAGTGAAATCTGGGCATTGGCATGTGGGAACGGCAGAGGAGAAAGAATTCATTATTGCATTAGAAGCACCCTGAACTCTTTGGAAGAGGGCCACACAGGGAGCCCAAAGTAAATATCAGTAAAATTTTCCCCTTATGAGGTTAGGACAGGTTTTGGCAGCCTTGTGAGTAGTCCCTTACCCCTGTAGACAGGCTTGGTGATCCTAGCCCCACACGTTTTGCCGTATAATCTATGGTTTTTTTCCCTCCGTTTTTGTTATCCCCTTCAGTCCTCACAGATGGATCCTCACCTGGCATTTTCAATTCTTCTTCCACCTCTGTGGTGCCACCGCTTCTCCGCTGCAGATTCCTCCAAAGCTCTTCTTTCCATTGTGAAACCTCTTAGGACCCAGGACCTCAACCACCTAGCAGTTAGAAGTTACGCAAAAGGAGGTTTACAAACATATGGACTTGGGTGGCAGGCAGGGGTAAAGGAACAGGGAGTACAGCACTGCGTAGCAGGTTAGGAGGATGGTTAAAGGAGGAGACTGCAGGGTAGAGGAGAAAGCATAGGTACCTGTTTAGGAAATAAACTTGGAGCCAGAGCCCACGCTGACGTTATGGCTGAAGCACACCTGCTCATCAGGACCTGATTTTAACTGCCGGGAGTCAGTCAGGATCAGGGCACTTGTTACTTCTGCTCTTCCAGTTCTCGGTCTCACCTTTGACCAACGCTCTGTCTCCTTCCTTCTTCAGGGTCCAACATTCTCCGAGGTGATTGTCTAACGATAGGCCCCAGGCTATCTCCCTCGCTGCTGTGTCCCCAGTGCTTAGCATAGTGCCTGCCGCTTACAGCTGCTCAAGAATCTGTTGACTTTATCTGAAATTAAGCTCTGATTTCTGCTATGGCCGAGTCCTTGGACTTGCCTCTTAAACGCTTTAAGGCATCAGTGGGAAATGGTTTGTGTCACAGGCCGTTTAGAAATGCCTGGGAATGGTCGATCCACCCACGCAGAAGCAGAGCAGGCCCCACTTTCACAACATACACTTTAAAGTCCTTTTTTTACGGGAGGTGGTGATAAGAGTTCTGTCAACGGCCTCTTACTTTGCAGAGATGGCTGGCCCCAGGATTGTGGTTCAGTAATTACACGTGGACCCCAAAAGAAACACGTTATGCTGTGATTGAACACCCAACAGTCACGAATACCATGCTCTGTGAACCCTAACAAAGAAGAGGTGACAAAGTTAGGTCAGAAAAACGAGGCTGTCACGCACACCCCTTCTGATTCACGTTGCCGGCTGAAACTGGCTTTGTTGGCCGGCAACTTGTGTACAAGAAACTGTTCCAAATACTGTCCCCAATTCAAGGTTCAGGGGTGTTCTAATGCAACTTAGTGATTAGTTATAGTACAAGAGGTTCACTAAAAATATATTTAAAAATCACGGTATACAATTCTCAAGGACCACACAACTGCTTAAATTTGTACTTTTGAAAGTAAATTATTTTCTTTGCCGGAGGTCTTACTTTTTAAGAAAGTGGGATTTAAAAAATTGACATTTTAGTCAGTGTGCTGTTTTCTGCCCACTTTCAAAGCAAATGGTTTAATATTTTTCCTATCAATCTGTATTTCCTTTGGTTTGAATACAGGATAGAAACCATTGCCGGCTAGCTCTGAAAAAATAGATGAATTCTGTCAAAGGCAAACAGGGAGCTGGAACCATGGGGTTTGAGTCACCCAGGGCCCTTGTTCATTCAACGGTAAGATGTGAGTGCTGTGTGGCACCTGCACTGTGCTAGGATCTGTAGGGACACAGATATAGAGCCAAATACCCCCCATCCCCAGAGGGTTTCAGGCCTAGGAAAGACCACACAATTCAGGTTTTGTTTCTATCAGTTCCTTTTGGTAAAAGGCAAGGGTATGTCTGTTGCCGTATTGTCCAACATCCCCCCTTCTAAGATTGAGAGAAGATGGGTAGCTGGGCGTAAATAAATACGTTGAATCAATTAACCTATGTACTATTGTTTTCTTTGCTTTTCCAAAAACACTAAAAGTCTGTAACTAGTAAAATGTCATAGAAACTAGCTCCTTAAGTGTGTACATATAAAAGGCAGTACAGACATTAAGTCTGACTTGAATCAGAGGTGGGAGATGCAAACGTTTGCGTCAGCCTTGAAGACATTTATCTTACAGCCGGGGAGAATCAGAGCTCCTAACAGTCAGTCAGGCCTGGTTCTTAATCATTTAAGGGAATTAGTGACCAGTGAGAAGTTACATCATCTTGAGGTGATGCTCAAACTTTATTTAATATAAATACAGTGCACTTAAAAAAACCTGACAGATGACGTACAGCTTTTCAGAAAGCATCTACTCATATGCTGCTCCTTGGTTATGACATCAGAGCTACCCAAAGACTTGAAGGACTGGCTGAGGGGAATAAACAGCCTGTGTCCGTTTCCTGCTTACAATCCTCACTACACACGCTCAGGCATGTAGAACTTGCCCCAGTATCGCCCCTTATGGGTCAGGTCGTAGGGGCTCAGCACTTTCCGTATCCCCAGCATGTTGGCAGTGACAATGCGCTCAAAGGTCCAGGGGTTTTGGTTGTTCCGTTCTCGTTCTTCTCGATCTTTCCACATCTTCTCTAGAGTCTCACGGCTCACGGCCTTCGCGGGGAAGGGCAACTTGTGGGCAACCTGGTTGAGGAAACCCCGTACCTCTTGGAATTCACAACGCCCGCCCATCTCTACTATGAGGCGGCCAGCCTTCACAGGGGTCACGTAGTGGTCGATGGCACCTTTGCCGCCCCCCATGCGCTGTCCCATACTCTTGCGGGTGATGGGCTTGAAAGGGGCTGGTACTCGCCATAAGGCAAACATGTTCTTGGGGTCCATAGACCGGTTGATTGTCAGGCGCATCATTTCAAAATGCCCCCAGTGGAGGTAACCGCCACCCAGTGCCTAAAAGTAAATGGGAGAATTAGAAACATATGGGGATTTAGATATCCTTCATGGGATCTATTATGTCTCTTCTTTTATGGTAACTGTGGCTTCAATGATACACATGAAAGTAAAAATATAAGTTCTAGTAAGTACCATGGAGGAAAAGCCTAGGGTACAGTAATAAATGGGAACAAGGGTGGACCCGCTTCAATGGATAGCCAGGGAAGACCTCTTTGAGGAGGTGACCTTTATAGCTGAGGCCAGAATGGAACGAACCAGCCAAGGGGAAACAGATGAGTGTTCCAGGCAGAGGAACGGCACATGCGAAGGCTTTGGCACAGCAGGTGGCTTGGTGAGTCTGGGCAGAAGCCAGTGTGGCCGGAGTAGAGAGAGGAATGGGGAACAGACTGCGTTCTGAGAGGCTGGCAGGGGCTGATCGTGCAGGCTGTGGGAATCGGACGTCAAAACATCACTCTGGCTGCCTGATGGGAACTAAATCCTTGTCCGTAGCCATGTGTGTAGGTACTGACGTCAAGTCTTCACGGAAGCTACTTGATGAGTAAGGAAACATCTGTCCCATGTACTAAAACATGGATAGTTTTATTTTGACCAGAGGCTTGAGAAAATCTCATGGTCTAACTATGGGGTAAGTTAGGTACCCTCTTCCTTCTGCTTTTACATTATTTCCACTCTACGGAAAACAAAAAACATTTATGACTTAATGCTTACTGGGTCCTGCTCATCAGTTTAAAGAGCAACTAGTGGCAGTTCTAGTAAAACCTGTGGAGGAAGAGACGAGAATGAACTCAAGGAGTCTGTTTTAATCCCTGGCTTCCGTCCTATAGCCGCTTGACGCTGGACTCACCAAGATCGCAAAACTGCCTTCAGTGAACTCAGTGGCTTCAGTGGAAGGTCCCCTTATGTCACTCAGGTTTTTAGGCTCTCTTCTCACTTTTGGCACAAGTGGTGCCCTTTCAACAAATCTAAGCTTGGGCTTTTCAGGAATGGAAACATCTAAAAGGAGCACAGACAACCAAGAGTAAGTCAAACCACACATCTCAAAGGATTCATTTTCTTCCTAGAAAGATTTATAACAATCAGGTCAAAGTCTTAAAGTTACCACTCAACAACAATTCCAGAAGTGTGTGAGGTTTATCTTGTGGATGCTTTTCGCTGACACTGGAATCTTCTGATTACGACAGTGGTTGATGCAAATGTTTTTGAACCTTTTAAGAGCAGAGTTTTAACCTTCAAACCAAAATGCTTTTTTAAAATGCCTACTCTGTACCTAACACTGAAAAAGGGACTGTTAGAGAAGGTACAAAGATATGAGAGTGTCACAGAATAACACTAGGTAACATTTGTGTGTGTGTGTGAATGTTTACTAAGTGCTGGAATTGAGCTGAGTGCTTTACATGCATTATCTCATTTAATCGTTAAAACAACTTGATAGCCTTGGTATCTTTTAGGGCTTCCTTTTTAATATTTTTAAACCTTTAAAAGTTTAACACACATGTATCAAAGGGCCCCATAAAAAAATGTGAATTACCACAAAGTGAACACACAGACACACCCACATAACATCCACATCAAGAAACACAACATTAGGCAGGTGGTATTTTTAATCCATTTTATAGAAGAGGAACTTCAGGCCTAGAGACATTTTATAATTTGGTTCGGGTCATCCAGTCAAAACAGAAAAGCTAGACACTATGTCACTTAAGAAAAAATACCACACTGCCTCTCTGATAAGAGGCAGTGGAAAGGATACTATATTGTACATCAAAATACCTAAGTTCTCCTGCTCTGCCCATTCTTGCTGGGAAACTTACAACCTAGTACTCCTTTGATCAGTGCTCTTTCCTTTATATATACAGGGGCTTTTCATGCTGAGGCCTGCACTACAATGTGGTTGCTGGGTGAGGGGCCAGACATGCTACGTCTTTATCATGTCTGAGGTTTTGACAATATGGAAAAAAAAAATTAACTTGTAAGTCATCTAAAGTATTTCTACAGTAAAACAAGCATGGCTCTGTGATGGAGTCCAATATAAAACAGGAGACTTTAAGAGCTACAGAAACTGCCCCCTGCCATTTCTATATGTAGCTACACAGAAAGTTAGTAATGCTTTCTCTTGCCTCCACGGCCATATGTATTCCAGTGCATGTAGCAGTTTCACAATTATGTGTAGAACATAAGGCCCTCAGAGGTCAAGGCCGCTTTCATTTTTTTTGAGATTTCCAATATATTAAAAAAAAAAAAAGGTAAGTTAGATATACCAAATTGTGGCTTACCTTAATTGTTTATATTAACAAATTAATGCTTTTCACATAATACTGTTACTGACTGCACATGTGTAACCTCATTTGGAGAAAACATCAAAAGTCTCAGTTGAGGCCAGTTAGGTTTAGCTGAGTGGGCAGCTGTGGGCCACGCACCAGTGGTAGGCCATATGGGAGATATCCCATGACAGGTTGGCTCCCTAAAAGCAGGAGTCTTTTTGAGTCTCTTGTTCTTCGATTTCTCTCTAGCGTTTAGAACACTGCCTGGCATACAGTATGTCTTCAATACATAATTACTGAATGGGTGAATGGGGATAGGGGGCACAAGAACACGCCTACTCTTTACCTATCCTCTGCTGGGTTCCATCACAGAAAAGGCTTACAAACAGGAAAACGGATAAGCTCTCACCTTCAAAAGTGGGCACCGGGAGCAGCGTCTTTAGGCCAGCGCTGGCGGGCGGCGCTGCCCAAGAATCTACAAAGACAGATCAAGTTAAACGACGAAGGCCAGGGCTTGGTACACTCTGGGCCAAATACGCTCCTGACAGAGGTGTCCTGTGGGTTTGGGACGTGGGTTCCACTAAAGGGGCTCACAGGCACTGCCCCCCGCCCCCAAAGGACAAGCCGGGGACTCTGGGCGCCGATCCCCAGGTTGCACGAACGCTGTTGACCCTTTTGCACGAATCTTATGGCGGGAGGGGCGGCAGCAAAGGGCAGCCCCTTCCCCGCGCTTCCGCAACCGTGCGCAGAGTCTTGGGACCGTGCGAGATACCCGATGCGGGGGAGGGGTGTGGAGAGAGGCAAGGCCTGGAGGGATCGGGGGCTTCTGACCTAACAAAGGCGCCCGCAGGACGGGCGCGCGGGCGCGAGCCAGCAGCCGCCACATGGTCACGCGCGTGCGGTCGCGTCGGGCTCCCCACGGCGACCGCAGCGAACACTTCGACGCGGGCACGAAACGCGGCACTCTCGAGACACGCCGGAACCGGCTCCGGCTCCCACCTGGTCGGGCCGGAAGTTGCGTTCGCGCCGGTCCCCCCTGCAGTGAGGGCGGGTGGAAGCGGAAGAAACCGGAGCCTCGGAACGTGGGTTCCGGCCTGGTGTGTGCGGGTCCCGCCCCGCGTTCTTTCCGGGGTCTCTCCGGAGATGAGGGCGGCAGGGCAGGGGGTTCTCTCCCCGCAGTACCATGCTGAGAAAGCCTGGGTTCGTATGGCAAGTTGGTTCCTTACAATTCACTACGTTACGCCGCGTCTCTAGCCCCCTTCTCTCCCGCAAGACGTTAGAAAAAAGCGAAGGACTCATCACTGTCTTAACATTTACTGGGCTCTTGCACGGTGTCGGGCGGTGAGTACCTCATCCTTGCGTCTAGTCCTCCCAACGAATCCGTGCGATAAGTAAGTCATTGCACCCACTTTGCAGATTCCATCTCGAAGGTCAAAGGATTTAACTTTCCTAGGGTCACACAGCAGGAAAACAGTACAATCAGTATTTGAGCACAGTCGGTGTGACTCCACAGACCCCAGTGAACGGACAATATGACTCGATATCAAGTTAAAATGAAAAAAGGTATAATTCTTCTGGGAGAATGTTGGGCAACTCATTTTTATGGGCATGATGCTTTTTAATATTTAGAAAGAGTGTCTCTTTCCAAGCTTCTAGGATACCGATGGGATTACCAATTGAGGCAGATGTCTGTTGTATTTAAATCATGCTAAATCTGTGCGTGGTCTTTCTCCAAGGATTAATATCGTAAATGGCAACAAATAAAACCTGTAATCTCGCAAAGCTACTGGAAGAACTCTCCCTGTCCACAGTTTTATGTACTTCTTAATTATTTGCACACTGACTCTGTATCAAAAGAGTTAGTGAATTTTATTACAGCCAATCATTTCTGTCCCAAGAGCAGTTTTAAAAGGTTAAACTGCCCCCGCCCCCTCAGCCCGTGTCAGATTCTGGGCAGCCCTTCTGTGCTCCCCTCTCCCTTCCACCGAAAAGTGGGAGATTCAGATGTACTCAGGTATTTAAAAATCTCAAGCTGAATATTGTATAAGATTGTTTGGATGGAGAATAAAGCTGCCGTACAATCACTCTTTGGTTGGTCTCTAAGTCTTCTGGTGCCCTAAAATTTCTACCTCATTGCTTATTTTAAAAGAACTAAAAATTAACTCAAAATTCTACATTTAAGGAGTACCGTAATGTCTATTTTTCTTTGTAAGAGTTGTGTTAAGTACAATGGAGGATACAAATATGAAAAATCGGTGACCCTTTATGAATTTATATTTATGTAGGGATGATATGATGAGAATACAATTAGCTAACGTTGAGATATGAGAAGTTTAAATAAAGGGCTGTGAAAAATCGAAGGATGGACCTGAGGTCTTCCCTGATCACAGAAAATCATTTTTCCCTTCGATTTTTCTTCTCTTCTGATAGTTCTATGGCTGTTATTTGTAGGAGACTGAGGTTCAGGGATTACACGATTTGCTACACAGTATGATGCAAAGTAGGATTAAGAACCTTGATGAACTTACTTTTATTGGAATGCATTTGCTAACATCTCCCAAAAGTTGGTCTTTGAACTTTCCTGAGGCCTCTGTTAAAAATGTAAATATCTGGTCCCCACTTACTAAGAAACTCTAAAGGTGGGGTTCAGGAAGTCCTATTGTGAACTAGCCCCACGAGTGATTCTAATGCCCAATCATGTTTGGGAATCAGTGCTCTATGAGCACTTTGAAAATTTAAAAAGTAGAGTATAGGTACAAGGCATTGTTTCTGGACTATACAGGCCAGTACTCACTGGGATGTATATTTTTCCCACCTGTATAAAAATTAACACCTCAGTTTTTGATCTTCTTATGTAAACATCCAGAGATAACAGAAACTTGTAGCCCAGTCCCAGGTCCGGTTGTTGACTTAAATGGCACACACAGACACACACACACATACACATACACACCTTACTGCCATGAGAAAAATGAATGTGTCTACACATATTCCAGAGCTTTCCAGCTAAATTAGAGTCAGTCCCAACTTGGGGAGTTAATAGAGTTTTACAGGAGAGCTATTTCCAGCATTTCTCAGGGAGTAAGTCAACAGGCACGAAGAATGGATCTAGTCCTAATTGTTTGGCCAAGAAGAGGGAACAATGCCGACTACTGTTCATGCTTTTGTCTTGGCGTTTACGGACTAGATCCATGGTACTCCTATGAATTTTTTCACCATAATAAATGATTCCCTATTGTGGCTTAGTCAAGTTATTTACAAGTCTGTTATTATAGACCATGCTGTAATAAACATCCTTATACAGACCATTTGGGTACTGTTTTGTTATTTCTTTTGAGCAAATTCCAAAGAAAAATCACTGGATCAAAGGGATGTTCATTTAAAATCATTTTACCTCATCAAATTGCGTGAAACGGGCCTTCACCAACAATGTATCAGCGTGACTTTATATACATCCCTTCTGAGGAAGGATATGAACGTTCTTTTAGAGCTTTGCCAATATGAAAGGTGAAAAACCACATCCAGTGTTATGTTTATAACAGGGTTTTAAAGCAGAATTGCTTCTGACTTAGTTTTGCCTGAGGGCCCAAGGTATGTGGTAATCCCCGTATTCCAAAGTGAGGAGCTGGGCCTCCTAGGCTGGACTTATCAAGGAGCTGGTTGGAAGTGGCTTTGCTCTTCTTAGCTACCCACTCTCCTTCAGCCTGTAAAAAGCACTGGAAAAATCAAGAAAGGAAGTGGAAACTGGCAATGACAATAAAGATTTCTTTGGACAGAGCTGACATACTGTGAGTTTCACTTCCCCTCTCCAATGGTTAGGGATGAGGTGAGCCATCCAGCCTAGTGAGAGACACTTCAGGACCGCGCAGAGAGCTTGGTATGAGGCCTCTGCAGTTTGAAGGGGGTTGATGTTGACACGGGCTCGGGAAAGTCTACGTTTGGAGGCTGATCAAAGCAGCCTGTGACATCAGAGTAGAGAGAAGTAGCCACACTACTATTGATGGCAGGTCAAAGGTGTGAATATCCTGTTGACCAGATGCGGACCCCAGTGCAGTGTGTGGGTTTACGGTTTTCTTATATCCTGTCCAACGGGACCCCATGGAGAGACAAGGAGAAAGAAGGTGGAAGAGGTGTAATGATGGATGTCCAGGGCCTGTGAGAAGAATTATATGCAAACAGCCAACCGTTTAGCAGAGATGAATTTGCCTGCTTCAAGGGAACTGAGATGTCCTCAGCAGTTAGGGTTAGAGTGTGTGTGTGTGTGTGTGTGTGTGTCCTCTGAAACTCCATAAAGCACCATAAGAGGAAGAGTATACTTGAAACTATACCCGGACCCGAGTCAGTACTGTTGGGTGCTGTAACGAAGTACCCCAGACTGGGTGGCTTAAACAATAGAATTTTATTGCCTCAGTTCTGGAGGCTTGAAGTGTGAAATCAAGGTGTCAGCAGGGTTGGTTTCTTCTGAGGGATGTGGGGAAGGATCTCTGCTTGGCTGGTAGATGGCCATCTTCTCCCTGTGTCTCTTCATACCGTTTTCCCTCTATGTTTGTCTGTCATGTGTCCAAATTCCCCCTTTTTATAAGAACGCTAGTCTTATTGGATTAGGGCCCACCTTAATTATCTCACTATAACTTGATTTCCTCAGTAAAGCTCCTTTCTCCAAATAAGGCCACATTTTGAGGTGCTGGGGGTTAGGACTTCAACTTATGTTTTTTTCAGGGGAGAGGAGGATACAAGTCAACTCATAACAGGTACCATGACGGTAAGCCATCCCAAAGGGGTCAGAGGTGAGGGGTCAGGGGTAGAAAAGGTCTTAAGTGATTGGTAAATGTGCAGAAGTGAGGAAATAAGAGCCCTCTTCCCTTGCCTCCATTTTTGTTTTCACCACTTGCTATCTGGCGTTGGGCTGAGCTGGGAGCGGGGAGCAGCTTTACCTCCAAATGCAATTCAGAGTTTTGATCTTTACACAGTTTTGGACATTTTAGTTACTGAAATCAATACGTTCTCTGTGGCTAGAAGTGACAACACAACTTTTTTTTTTTAATATCAGAGAGTAATGAAAAATGCAAAAAAAACCCCAGCCTTACAGAGTTGGTTTGGATAAATAGTAGAAGGGTAAACTAAAGTTGATTTCTGATAGCCTTCTCTGAGTTCTACTTAGTGATCTAACTTACATCTGGTTATACTTAGTTTGCTTTTTTGTTTTTATTTTTTTGGCCAAACAACATGTGGGATCTTAACTCCCAGACCAGGGAGCGAACCCACAGTCCCTGCATTGGAAGCACGGAGTCTTAACCACTGGACCACCAGGGAAGTTCCTTAGTTTGCAATAACTAGCAATAAAAATTTTAAAAAATAACTAGCAGTGCTGAACTTTTTCTCATCTCTTTGGTTTCATATGTTTTTGTCTGTTTTACTGTATGTGTGATTTGCTTGCTTGTGTACTTTTCAATCATACTGTTCATTTTTTTTTCGATTCAAAACTGCTTGTTATATATAAGTACATTAACTCCTCTTCAGTTGTATATGTTTTGATTTTTTTTTTCATTTTTCAGTATGTCCTTTAATTTTCTTTTTGAGGCATGACCATTATGATTTTTTTTTTTTTTTTTTTTTTTGGCCGTGCCGCGCAGCTCGCGGGATCTTAGTTCCCTGACCAGGGATTGAACTTGGGCCCTTGGCAGTGAAAGCGAGGAGTCTGACCATTGGACCGCCAGGGAATTCCCCATTATGTTTTTTTTTAAGCAGTAAAATCTGACAGTAATTTTCTTAAGAGTTTTTGACTCTGAGCATATGCTTATAAGGGCCAGAGGTAGGGATCTAACATAATTCTTTTCCAAGTTGAAAATCCTCATTTAATATGTGACTTTATAATGTACTAAATTCCCACATAATTTTTTTGATTCCGTTTGACATTTTATTCCCTTCTCATGTTCTCTCTGTTCTGAAACCAGTGATACACTCTTTCAATCATTGTTACTTTATTACACATTTTTATATATGTCTTGTCAAGGTCTCCATTTTTGCACTTTACTTTGCAAAAAAACATTATGGCACGTTTTGCATGTTTGATCTTCAAGATAAAATTTAAAACTTTTTGTTAAGTTCCATTTTCTCTCCCTTTCCATTTTTATTTCCTTGGCCAGAATTCTTGTTCTTCATATTTTTGTGTGTGTGTGTTCATTTCAATCTCAGAATCATTTGCACTTGTGAGCAAGACTCAAGGCTTTTGCTATTTCAAAGAACTACAGGCTCTCAGCTGGGAGGGGCTAGAGGAGTCAAGTACTTAGTTCTACCTCCTCATCAGCATGTTATCCTCAATCATGAACTTGCTACAAGTC